TTCTGATATCGAGAGAGAGGAAGAATCAATAATCAATTAAATCAAGGTGAGAAATAGTATCATCATCAGATAATTCATCCCTACTTACATAATTTGTCATCCAAAAAGGTCTTTTCTTTGGTCGTTGATCATCGGAGTTGGCTCATTTGCTGGAACATTTGACAGGGTATCGCCATGTCAGACACACACCACTATAGTAACTTGAAAACATTAATAAATATCCGGATTTTACGTAAACAAATTAAAATACTCAACATTTATTTATTTATTTATTTTTGGACCAAAAATAAAACATTAATTTTTTATTTGAAATTATTGTACATTTATATTAATCTATATCTTATCTATATAAAGCAAAAGGCAGAAAATGGTAAAACATTCAAAATACCAGAAAATCCCTTAGTTAATACAAACATTAAGAATTGAAATTATTAATTAAATCTATATAAAGCAAAAGGCAGAAAATGGTAAAACATTCAAAATACCAGAAAATCCCTTAGTTAATACAAACATTAAGAATTGAAATTATTAATTAAATGAGGATAATATGGTAAATTCACACTTTTTCATATTTTAAAAAAAAAATTTAAGAAAAATATGATAATGGATCCTATTTTTATGGAACACAACTACCCATTATCTTTTTTAATTTTAAAATAAAATAAATTTAAAAATAAAATAAATAAAAAGTCTCTCGCAGGCGAGGAAGCACATGCAGAGAGGCTAGTATATACAATGCAAAAGGCACATAATGGTAAAACATTCAAAATACCAGAAAATCCCTTAGTTAATACAAACATTAAGAATTGAAATTATTAATTAAATGAGGATAATATGGTAAATACACACTTTTTCATATTTAAAAAAATAAAAATAAAAGAAAAATCAAATAATGGATCCTATTTTTATGAAACACAACTACCCATTATCTTTTTTAGGTAAATTTAAACATTTAAAATATTAAAAAAACCTCTCGCGGGCATGGAAGTGCGTGCGAAGAAGCTAGTGTTTAATAAAAAGAGAAAAGATTCTTGTGTAAGTACCTTTTTTATGTTGTTCTTAAGATGTCACTAAAGAACAATGACTTGGATGTCGATGTTAAGCAACGTCGATGTCATTGTATTTAGACTCGTAACAGAAAAATAAATTAGTTGTGTTTGGGAAAAAAAGATTGTTTGACTTTTGTCAAAAGAAACTATTTCATAAAAACCCCGCAATTGGGAAATCGCAGAACAACAAGCGTAGAAATCATACAACAATCAAGAAGGATGTTTGGAAAATAAATATTAAAAGAAAAAGTTGTCAAAGAAGCTAAAAATTTTATATAAAAAAACCCTTACGGGTAAGCTTGTGAGTTATGTGAGTCCATGACTAAAGTTATTAGTCTCTAATTGTAGAATGCATTAGGTTATGACTAGTCGTCTTGTATGTGTATGACTAGTCGTCTTGTATGTGTATGACTAGTCATCTTCAATGCAATCTATCGTGTTTATTTATATAAATAAAAGAATAAAAGAAAAGAGGTTATTTAGAATTATATTCACACTAATTTAAGGCTATACCAACATTATTGAGAAATAGAGATTGTGTGTAATGGACCCACATCCTTTTTAATTAAGAGATTGATATGTACATACCTTTATAGGCTATGTTGCACCGATACGGATACGGGTACGGCGATACGATACGATACGATACGCCGATACGGCAAATCTCCAAAAAGTAGGATACGGGTACGGCACCGATACGGCGATTAAAATAATATATATTTAAAAATAATAATATCATGCTTTTGCTGTTAGAAATATGCCCTTAAAGCTAACTAATTATGTAATAGTTAGAGTTAAGGACATCTTTAATAAAAGACATTATGTTATCAATGAGCAATAAATGTTGTTTTATACATTAAATCATCCTATATTATTTTTCAATATGTAGAATAACCATAGTCCAAGGAATACACAAGTGGATAAGAGAGCTATGTAATGAGATTGCATACATAAAGACTTATCATCATCCCTAAATCTTGAATATGTTCCTGTTCTTGAATATGTCCCTAAATCTTTAAGTTGTGGGAGGTTTTAAAGCATTAGATCTAATTTAATATAATACTAGCCTCTCCGCACGCGCTTCCGCGCCTGCGAGAGGCTTTTTTATATAAAAAAAAAATATTTTAGAATTAAAATAGATAATGGGTAGTTGTGTTCCATAAAAAGAGGATCCATTATCTTATTTTTCTTTAAATTTTAAATTTTGTTAATATGAAAAAGTGTGAATTTACCATATTATCCTCATTTAATTAATAATTTCAATTTTTAATGTTTGCATTAACCAAAGACATTTTCTGGTATTTTGAATGTTTCACCATTCTCTACCTTTTGCTTTATATATATAGATAAGCATATGATTTAGATGAATTTGGTGTTCACAAGTTCTCATTTTTAGGTCTTGTATATGTATCTAGAGTAATGTGTTGTATTAATAACTGACACAAATTAATGTGCAAACAACTGTTTGGGCTTAAATTTGGCACGCCCAGTTCAAAAGCAAAGGCCCACATCATTTCTTCTAAAGTCGCCTATTTTGGCCCAAAAATTGGCACCCTCAATCCATCAAAAGCGCCCAGCCCGTTAAACGAATAAACAGGCCAAAACAAAGAACTCGGCCCAAAACGTCGAAGGCCCAGAAACAGTGGAAATCAGAAAAGAGACTTGGGCCTCGGAAGAACTAGAATTGGGCTCAGAGCAAACTAAACCCAACTGGTCTTTTAAAAACAGTCCCACGTGATCCCTGACTTAGAGAAGTCAACAAAATCGGCTGAAATAAAAGATTGAACAGGGGCAGGTGTAAAAGAAGAACGTCTCTGAAAAAACTCAGTTGCCTGGAGATCAAATCCCGTTTTAATTATTCAAAAGATATTTCCTGTTCCGGAGAAAACACCATTTTCAAGGAATAAGCAGACTCTGCCTCTGTAAAAAGGGGATAAGCGGGAAACAGGGATCAAAAAACTGAGAACTTACTATCTCAAAAGACTCTTAGACTCTCAGAAAGCAGTTGAAATGAAAGAGGGGCATGGCACCCCATCAAAAGAAAACAGAGAAGTAGTCATTTCAGGAACTGATCGTTGAGTGTTTACTTGCCAGAAAATGGATGGAACCCCTGTTTATTTCAATTAAAAATT